AGTGAAATAGGAATTTCCACAAGGATACAAGAATTATATTGTTATTGAATATATTCATCAGTTTGCTGTATATTGACCGATATGGGGAAGATGCTATTAGAAACTATGGGACAAATTTGATATACAGGGCTATTCATGAAGAGACTCACATAGCCAAATGGTGAATAGGGGAAAACAAAACAAGTTGAGATTTCATGTATGAAAGATTCTGTTGGCCTTCAATAACGAAGATATTATGTGAAATTGCCATATTAAAATATCAATGGCCGACATTTCAGCGAGAACACAATATGATCAGATCGATTATCGGTGACTTCGATGCATGTAATATGCTATTCAAGACTCGAGAACATAATTATATAACCGGCATCGCATATCAACATAGATAGATATTTTGAATTGACTCGGCCGTGCCAGTATATCACCTGACGAAGCTACTGTATTAGCGAAACATGTCGTGTGTTTGAGATTGTAGAAATCTTATCGTTTGTGGAGTACATAAATAGATATACCTACACTGGTACGCGTGCTTCCATGACGTGAGTCTGCCGGTTTACTCCCATCCCAGAAAGTGCCTAACTGGCCTATAGAAATTATCGCTCCAAAAATCAATTAATTTCTCACTATTTATATTTCAGCATTCTTCAACATCATAAGTACATGAATTGCATGAATTTTTGACGCATTCGCGTTGTCATTATGATTGCCATTTGAAATTAAATGTCAAACAACTCAAGCAAGTGAGATAGAAACATACCCACTTGATTATACCCAAGTACTACGTGTTTTTATGGGCCAAAAATTTGTTATCATGATGAAAAGAACGTGTCTTCATTGGTTAAGATCTGTATCATGATAGAAATCCGAGATAATGAATTCGCTTCTTATAAAATGGGAGTAGGAAAAACTATACATTCGGAAAAGATGAGTTCAACAAAAAAAGTGTCCCTTGTTTTTTTATGTAAACCATAACCTTTAGGCCAATATCAGTCATTACATACGGATATATTCTCTCTAATTCATTTTCATGAATGATTTGTAGAGTTTGAAAGTGAAACTCGGCAAAATTGTGCACAAGAGCTGATGCTTGAAATTTAAAACTCTCAATTTCATCAATGAATTCAAAAGCATCGAGGTCATCTTCTGATCGATTTTTGCGCCCTTGTCGGCTGGCGCCCGCGGCGGTCGCCCCCTTCGCCCCACCCTAGTTACGGCCCTGGTAGTATGACAAATCAGATGATTTGCCCCAAAAATTCATGTTCAGTTTTCAGTCGTGAATACCATGTTCTCTCAGAACTATCCATTCCATGGAAACATCCTGTAACTCATTTGTATACTAACATCATCACTCATCCATATGCCAACATCAGTATGACACTGAGAAGTGTCAAACCAGAACAGGCCCATACAGCACATGACATCCATTGAACGTCCATTTTAGGTCCATTTCAATTCCAAACGTCCATGGACATTGAATGGAGATCAAATGTAAGTACAAACATGGATTATCATTGGATGCTTCGAATTGTATGTACAGTGTGTCCAATTTTCGATGCTTTTGCATGATATGTCAGTTATCTTTGGAGATAGAACCTTGCGGTTTTCGCGGTCCTGTGCCACTTTTTTGTGAAACTCAAGATGGCCTAATCAGATTTTGCAAGACTGTTTCCGTTTATGAGATACAGGGCGATTTTGAAAATTTATACTTTTTGGACCCCCTCTATATCCACGAAGTTTCTCAACAAAAATGTCAAATCAAAATCTTATCGCATAGAGAATTTCACGCATAATCCAGTGGCGCACTTAAATTTTTTTCTCGGGGTATGGTTTTGGAGATACGACTCAAACTTATGATTTTTTGAATGGAACACCCTGTATTTCATAAGCTCATTGAATTCCTTATTTTTTTGTCTTCAAAATGATATATAAAGAATGAATATAAAATTTTCAAAATTGCTCAAAATCACTAAAATATTGAATTTTGATAGTTGGTTATGGATTTTTCTTATAAAAAACGTTCCAATTGAAGAAATATTTCTTCAAATTTTTCCATGGAGAGGTCAAAACCAATATCAACACTTATTAATTAACAAAACACTAAACTTGGGTACCTGACAGCAACAAATAGATAGTAATAAAAAGTTCATAATGTAGAATAAGCACCTGATTAAATATTCACTAAAATAATTGAATTCCGGAATTATTCAGTAACTTATTCATTGACATGTTCAAATTGATATCCATTTTCCCTAACATACAGTTGACAAACTTCCTTAATACTTCTCAATACAGTGAGTGGCCCAACATACTTGAAGAACTTTGTGCAACAACAGAGGCAGTTTTCCAGGAATTACAAAGACATCTTTCAATGATTAATATGTATTGAGAAAGGTTGTGGAAAATGGACATCAATTTGAACAATTCAATGAATACATCACTGAATAATTTCGAAATTCAATTGTTTTAGTAAATATTCAATCAGGTGCTGATTCTACATTATAAATTTTTTATTACTATATATTTGTGGATATCAGTTATCTAAGTCTTGTGTTGAAATTATTTTTTCTCCCTTCATGGAACAATCAAAGGAAATATTCCTTCAATTGTCAATTTCTTTATATGAAAATCCCTCGAAAAACCCATAGCCCACTATTAAAATTCAATGTTTTAGTGATTTTTGAACATTTTTGAAAATGTTATATTAATACATCATATGTCATTTCGAAGGAAAAGAAATAAGGAATTTAATGAGCTCATAAAATACAGGGTGTTCAATTTAAAAAATCATAAGTTTGAGTCGTATCTTCAAAACAACACCCCGAAAAAAAATTTTTTGTGCGCCACTGAATTCTGCATGAAATTCTCTATGGGTTAAGATTTTGATTTGACATTTTCGCTGATAAACTTCGTAGATATAGAGGGAGTCCAAAAAGTATAAATTTTCAAAATCGCCCTGTATCTCATAAACGGAAACAGTCCTGCAAAATCTGATTAAGGCATCTTGGGTTTCACAAAAAAGTGGCACAGGACCGCGAAAACCGCAAGGTTCTATCTCCAATGATAACTGAGATATCACGTAAAAGCATCGAAAACTGGACACACTGTACAGTGGGCGTCCATTCGATGTCCAACCACGCATGTACGTAGAATGTACATTCATTGTACTTATAAAAATGGATGTACAATGTATGTTTCAAAATTAACGTCCGTTGGACATCCATTTTATGTCAACTCAAGGATGAAAACTCTCGTGGAACGTACATTGTACGTTCATAAATGGACCTAAGACTATTGATTTTTCAGCCACGTGGAGGGGAGGCAGAAGGTCAGATCGGTCGGTAGAGTAGCGGTAGCGTCTGGCGTGATTCTGATGCCATTTTCAGCTGGTAAATGATCGTGAACATGATGTTTTGTGTTTGTGATGAGTTGTGGAATGCAGAATATTTAGGAGCAGATCATTCAAAGTAGGTATGAATGCATGCATGTTCGAATGTGACTTCACATATTATCTAATATAGTTATATAATCGTATGCTTTATCATCCTACAGGTTGTTATTCATTTTTAATGGGCGGTTTGATAGAAGAAGTACCTAAGTATATAGCAATGTAAATAAGGCTTCATTCACCAGTCAGAGTTAAGCTGAACAGGATTTGGGGTGTAGACAATCGATTTGTACCTATATAGCAACTTATAATATTTCTCTTTTTTTACAGAAACAAGAATTTGAAGTGGACTGAAGTAGACATGAATCAACAATATATTTATATATATGCATTCGACACCAAATATATATCACAATAAAAAAAGCTATATTTGCTACCTACTAATTTTTCATCATTTGATTCCCGCGAAGAGATGAGCATCCATTATACACCCACACGTAAACATTCAATGTACGTCCAAAGTGGTGTCCTCAAAACATCCAATGGACTTTCATTTTGGACGTTTAACGTCCAATTTGGTACGTCGAATGAATGCTCAGACATCTACATCCATTGTGAGTCCACCAGCTGGGCTGGTGGCCGTGAGCGTAGAGTCGCTGGCTGTTGCCCAGGCGGTCCGGGTTCGATCCCCGGCGCGAGCACTGAATTAATTTTCGGTAGTTTCGTTGGGCGGGAGGAGATAGGTGGCCAACCCAACATTCTTGGTACCTAGATATCAATCCTTTGGACTGTCCACGGTTACCAGCCGAGTAGTGCTTCGGATGACACTTAAAAAGCTAAGGTCCCCGTCTTCTTAACTCACACAAGTCTCTGACTTTCGAGGGTTGCTTTGCAACTAAGCTGGCGGTTAAAAACACTTTTAAACACACACTTTTTTTTAAATATGAACATCCATTGTACATCCAAATAAAGACATCCATAGTACGTCCAAAGTGGTGTCATCAGGACATCCAGTGGACGTCCATAGAATGTTAAACGTCCACTCGAGTACTTTCATTGGACGTCCTTACGATCCGACGTGGACGTACATTGCACGTACATTGGACATACATGTGCTGTGTGGGGGATTTCCGAAGAAAAATGTTTTGCATTTTTATGTTGAGAACGGGAGCAGATTCGTTCTCGACACGTCCAAAAAGATAAGTAAAAATTTGATATTTCTTCAATATATTTTTTCTCTTTAAACTTCTTTCCAAACAAAGTGTCACTGACAAGCTATTTGAATTTTCTTTTAGGCTCCCTCTGATAGAAAAATTTGTTAAATGCAGTGACATTTCGGGGCAAATGATCTGATTTGTCCTACTACACATATACATATTGAAATAATATTCATACTTTTATTTTGTAGAAACGAGGAGCGAAAATCCCAAATAATCAAGTGAAATGAATGGTTTCATAACAGTTGGAGAACGATTTATATGTTTCACACGGCCGCAAATGTAAATTGCCTGCCTTTGCTGATTTCCTAGCCTTATATATCGCTACGCTCGGCTATCAGCCGCGGCAGTCAATGCACTACTTTGCTGCCTAGTAACTATTTCATCAGGTGGCTCACCTTTTCCTGCCAACAAACTCAAAGTCATCGGACCGTTGAAATTATCTACCCAACCTGGAATAGGGTCCTTGATGGCAGGAGAAACTGGAAAAAAATTACATAAAAAATTAATTTCAATATTTCTTCAAAAATTTACTACATTTTGAAATCTTCAGTTTGTGTTTATATAAGAACATGGTGATGGGTAAAAGTGTGGAACCAACTGATTATCTCCTTAACCCTTTGTCAAATTATCTCGAATTATTCTATAAAAATGATTTAAAAATGTGGCGGATTCGAAAATGTTGTCAATGCTGCCACGTTTCCAGTTTTTCCCAAATGCTTGTCAACTTTATCATGACACACCGTATAGATTTTTAAAAATTTGAAAGAAAATCTTCTAGCGAATTTATTGATGTATACAGGGTTTCTAGCTTAAAATTCCGCAAGCCAATAAATCCACACAGAAAAGAAATGTTTGATTTCTGTAAAAAGTTGTCAATGGATGTGGTCCAGTGTTCCGAGTTCAAAAAATTCAAAGCCTACTAAGAGCTGAGTGTTTTGCCTAGTCGGAAGTATAAATCGATTGCATTGACTTTGAAATTACGCGCATTCAACAGTACATGTAATTTGTAAACTTTTTTGTCATTTACTCGAACTTATTTATTTCACTCAATTCTGAGTTATACCGATTTATAGTAAATGTTTTTTGATTGACCAAAAATGCGATGGTTTTTGCAAGAATCTCATGAATTTTAGTTACTTCAGCAACCATTGTTATCGCATTGTAAATTACAAGCGACAGATGTTGTCATTACAGTGTCAGATATATTGTCATATTTTGTAACAAGAGTTCGGTTTGAACAAACCTAACAATAATTAAATGAACATGTTTCAATTTAGCAATGATGAAAAAATAGACATGTTGATGGTAATGCAGGACAAATTGTAGGGAAGCAAAAAGAGTTTACGCACAGCGTTAACCGCATAGTCTCCGATGCAAAAATTTTTCAAAGTTGTTTGCTTGTAAATCAATTGCGATAACAATGGCTGCCGAATTAACTAATATTCATGACATTATTGTAAAAAGCATTCGTAATCGCATTTTTGTTAATCACGAAACGTTCACTATGGACCGGTGTAACTCAGAAATGACTGAAATAAACAAGTTCGAGTAAATAACAAAACAGTTTATAAATAACATGAATTATTGAGTGCGCCTGATTTCAAAGTCAATACAATCGATTTATATTTCCGACGCGTCGCGACGCTCAGCTATTAGTCGGCGTTGGATCAAAGGCTTAAAGATTCTGCATCAGGGAACATCCAACAACACCTCATCACCACATATAGCTAGTGTTAGGTATGCTGTACATCATAAAAGATCGAATATACTTGGATCATATACCAAATGAATGTGGAAAAAATATCACGAACAGATCCACTCAGCATCCTCGAATCCCTAGAGTAATTGAAGCTTGAGGGTATTTTTGTCATCTGAGACTCACCTATTGAAGGCCTCAACACAATGGCGGGAATTTGGTTCTCGCATAAATCGAACACAACTCTCTCAGCTAAACCTTTGGTGTAGGTATACGTATTCGGCATCGGGTAGATGATTTTTTCTGTGAGCGCTTGTAAACTCATCTCATCGCAATTTTCAGCCATTCCTATGGCCTTCCTCCAATCTTGTTTCGAAGGATAAATGCTTTCTTCGATTACATCATGGTCGCAATTGCTGTATGCCGTGGAACAGTAGACGAACACATCGAGGGTTTTCAATTTTTTGGCTAATGTGATGACGTCTCTGGTGCTTCGGGTGTTGGTGAGTATGGCCGATTTTAGAAAATCGTTGAATCTCACTGAAGCGGCGATGTGGTATATTATTGAAACGTTATTTATGAGAGTATCAGTGTCTTCCTTGTTAAGTCCTAAAATTCAAATAACCAAATCATACAGAAGCCCAGCGAGCACAAACATCCCTGATGGGATGTTTTGTGATGTTTTGAAAATGTTGGCATGAGGATGCATTTTTGAGACGTTATATGACTTCCCAAAGAGGTCTTTGAAGGATATTAAAGTATTGTTTTTGTTCTTCTGTGGCACTTCTTTGTGTGCCTACTGAGAGGTATCCCTGGGATGTTTTGGGATCTTTTAAAAATATTGGCAAGCGGATGTTTTTTGAGACGTAATATAACTTCCCACAGAGGTCTTGATATTGAAATTACTGTTTTTGTTCTTCTGAGCCATTTCTTTGTTTGCCCCACCATCATTTCTCATGCTCACGTCACAATACGATGAATTCTAATTTTTTTTTCGATTTTGCATGTTGTTCTTGTTCGCATTCGCATTTGCAGTGTCTTTTTTATTCATTCCATTCATATTAGTTATAATACCAACTACCTCCATAATTCGTAACAGTATCCCAAACAGCACCAGAATATACTTTACGAATAATATTCTGAAAACGTGTTCTGTTCTGCTCAGAATGATCATAGAATAATATGTTCATCCTGGCAACAAATATTCCATGAACATTCAATTCGACATACAGAATCGTATCAAAATATGATATGGATATTATTCTTGTATCAAAATATTTATAATGTTTCTTCTGACTCACCCTTATTCTCAGCCTCAATGCTAATGATTATTATCTTACTAAGTGCATGTTGACATCTTTCTATTCATACCATTCATCAATACGGTTCCCATGGCTCAGTGGACAAGGTGCTAGGATTGTATAAATTCAATCTCTATAGAGTGAGTTTTGCAGTGAATGAATGTGCGCAAAACGCTTGGGAAAGGTTATGTTATGTCGATAAAAAGTCTATCAAAAAAACCAGGGAAAATGTATTTTTGTGACATCCCAAGGATATCTTTATAAACGCCACCTGCGGCGGACATTGGCTGTTCTATGAAAGTTCTATTCCTGTATGAACAGAACATCGCGGTGGAGGTTCTATGTCTCAAGATCTCGTACTTTTAACATCTCTGAGATGTATATGTGCTCGCTGGGAATAACCTACTTTAAATGGATCTATGATCTTTATCACAGTAACGGGGTGTTCTACGTGAGCGAACTCTATGCGAACGCGATGCTAGGCGACACGAAAATTTCAAACTACGAAAAATATTGAAGTGTCCAAGTGTCCTATGTGAACTGCACGCGACTACAGAGACTGCATTCAACACAGTGACATTTTTTTATTGGTCGATAGAAATCCGCCATGTTTAGGCAAAATCCGCGGCAAATTCAAATGACTTGAACTTTGTAGTGTTTTCCTGTTTTTTTCTCATGCAGTATTATTTTCCATTTAATCAAATATTTCTTCAGAACATAATATTGGCAAATAAAAAAATATTTCCAATGAACATAATAATAATGATATCTAATCCGTCTCCGCAGTCCGCCATGTTTAGGCAAAATCTGAGGCCTTGAATGATTTGAACTTTGTGTCCAGAAATAGCAGTGTTTTTCTGTGGTTTCCTTGTTTTTTCTCATATGCAGTATTATTTTCTATTAGATCAAATATTCCTGCAGAACATAATTAAGTTAGGGGATATTTTTAATAACCATGGTTTAACCTTTTATTTATTTATTTTTTAGATTTTCTACATCAATTTTTATATGTTGCATATTCTATTCAATGATACTGGAAAATGTAGTACCTACAGAGTGTGCAGGTTTGCAACGACTTAATTGAATGGGGACATATTGGGTGATTCAATGAGGTATGCAAAAGCTTCTAGTATCCTCTCATTTAAGACTTTGCATGCAGGAAGAATTCCCGATGATGAAATATGATATGCTGTCCATAGCTCCAGCTACCCTATGTGATTAAGAAGCTATATTGAATACCAAACATTCAATGAAATATTCTGAATGAGAAAGTAGTGACTTGAAACAGCATGAAATTATAAATACTTAAAGTATGTGTTTCGGAAATGTACAATTTTCACTGTATGTGGTTGAAGTGAAGTTCATGGAACACAATGTAGAATGTGGATGATGAAAATGTGATGAAAATAGTAAAAAACCTACTCATCAATACAAAACCTTATAATATTGACATTGATTTCCACAGAGTGAATGCATATTGTCAGTCAGAATGACTTTAGTAGGATGTTTTTATAAAAATGTCAGTAATTTCACTTCGCTGTATTTTGACTTTATTTTGACTATGATTTTGACAATATTGATTATTAATAACAAATAAATAACAAATATACCTGATGCACATAGATGATTGACATTACTCAACACTATAACACTGCTGATTGGTATAGGTATATAGGTATGTAGTATTTTTACTATTATTATAGTTATCAATTTACTGATATTTTATTCCTTCTCTTGAACATAACAAATTAGGCATGATTTAACAAAATGATCATCATTATAAAATACAAAATTAAACTGGAAAGTACAAAATTTCACAAATTGCTTTCCCTATATAGTGGATAACAGGTACCTACCTACTAGAAAGTGGATTCAAAATGATATTTTCACACAATATAACTCATCTGATATGTGTCCTAGAACCCATCAGCGAGCACAAATACATCTCAGAGATGTTTAATGTACGAGATTTCGAGACATTGAACTTCACTGCGATGTTCTGTTCACACATGAATATAGAACTATTATAGAACAGTCAATGTCCGCCGAAGGCGGCAATTATCGAGATGTCCTTGATATGTCACAAAACTACCTTCTCCCTAGTTCTTTTTAAAGCCTTTTCATGGACACAACAGAACATTTTCAACGCGTCTTGCGCACATCAAATCGCTGTAAAAAAACATTTTCGAGGTACTTTTCTGAAGCCTTTTGTCAAAATGAACTTTTGCATTAGGATTCCATTTCCCTTGAATGAAAAAATGCATTGAATATAGATGATTGAACATAAAAATATTTTCTTGATATGAAATTACCTTCTTAATCGGTTTCTGAGTAGTGCTTACTACACACAGACATATAATTGGAAATAGGTCTCCCAATTTTTGAAATGTTCTCCACAATGCATAATTTTGCAACTGCGGAGAAGCTGTGTATTGATGAATTCGTACTTTTATATATTGATTACACTGAGGCACCGAACAACACATCTTGCATCTGATGGTCATTATTACAAACTAAATAAGTCTTCTAACACAATAAACTTCACCAAATTCCTTTCTGTTCGTTAGCAGCGTGATGTAAGTGTGACACGCTGCAAACGCGAATGCCAATTGCGAACAAGAAGAACAAAATCGAAAACAAATCAGAATTCATCGTATTGTGACGTAAGCATGAGACGTTGTGGTGGGGCAAACAAAGAAAGGGCATAAAAGAACAAAAACAATACTTTCACTATGACGTACTTTCTATGACGTGATAATAACGTCATCGTTTTGACGTCGAGTGAAAGTCACTTAGATGGGTAAAAGAAGACGTCAGTTTCATGACGTTGGCAGGGACGTCCTGTCGACTTTCATTTTTCCCAGACCTTCTCTAAACCATGGATACTCATATATCATCATGTGAAACAGAAGTATAACTCATGAAAGGATACCAACATGCAAGTTTTATTCTAATTAATAATATACCCGATAAGAAGTAGAAAAACTTATTTCTAAAAAACTTTGACACACGACTGTAGAAAATTTTCAATTATCGAAGCATCCCAATTTCCAGAATGTTCTGTCTTTTCGTTCTCCAGATACTTCTAATAGGCCATCCACTGTGGATCACCCTGTATTTTTTTCATGGTGCCATTCGATAATATACGTCGAGCCACAGATTAACAAAGTCGAGCTTTCTTAGGGTTTGGAATTTTTATTTCAATGTCACCTTGTATATTTTGCTTATCTCGGTCTTCACATTGTAGTCGATCAAATTTCAAGTGGTTATAAAAGAACTGTCAATTGCTGTATTGATTGTCAGAATTTGCTTAGTGAATGGTTGCTTGAATATACTTTCTGTAATGATCATGATTGGTCATTAGCATCAATAAAATCATAGAAATGCATTGTGAATAAATTTGACAGTTGATCGGAATTTTGCCTGTGACACCTGCATACCTATACCTATACAGGGTGTAATTTAATTGATGGCTGAAAATATAGGATATGTTTCCTAAGCTCATTTTAAGAAGAATAGTTCTCATGAACATAACATAAACCTCTCAACTTTCGAATTATAGGGTCTTGAAATTTTATTTTCTCTTTTTTGATTAAAGAAACTTTAACAATCTGAAACACTGTCACGTTTATGAATACTTGTGAACATGAGGAAGCAACGTAATCGATCAACTGTCATTATTTTAAAAATGAAATAGGGCACTAGGGCAATTTCGTTATGCCACAAATGCATGAAAAAAGTTTTTATTGTTTTTACACGAAAACGATTTGTCGGAGAGAAAAAATTCAGGAGATTAAATTGTTGCAAAATTGATGAGTATTTCAAGAAAAATTTTTATTCTCGAAAAAATCAGGAGCGTACAACATTTTTTTTTTAATCTCCAGGATACATCCCAAACGAACGCCACTGGTGGAAATATTAAAAAATCTTCTGCATTCAAAAATGCCTATCGGTGCTTAGTAGGTGCATGTTTAATTTCTTGAAGATACCCAGAACAGTATTGCAGTTATATCAGGAAAACGAATTTTTTCTTAAAATTTTAACACTCCACAGCTCGAAGGTTAAGAGGTTTAGGGCATATGTTCATATAAACTTTTCTTTTAAAAATGAGCTATGAAACCATATCCTCCATTTTCAGCCATCAATCAAATTACACCCTGTATGTATTATATTCACTTGGAATTGGCTTTAACTTACCAAGATCTAACTGTGTGATATCGCCTGCAACTCCCAATACCTTTTCGATAGCTTTGATATTTTGCTTCTTCAATTCGTCGAATAACTGAAAAAAAAAAAAAAAAATTGAATCGAAGAGATTTTCAGAAACAAAAATACCTATTTCAACTAAAACATATCAGATATTATATTCATCAGTTCAAATTGAATAGGTTACAATTAAAACAATATGTACATTGATCGATTGTTGTTTCAACTAGTATTTGATGGAAGAGCTCTCAATTTTTCTATCTCTACATCTTTTGTATATCATTGTTGAAATTAAAATTACATTTCGCGGAGGTATATGTAGGTATATTGCTCTGAACTGCCATCCTGATACAACTTTTTTTCAACGAATATTTGCCAAATTTACGGTTGCAACTGTCAATTGAGAGCTGTTCAGAACAATAGCTATTTATATACAGTGTGACCCATTTAAAATGGAACCACCCCTGTATCTTACGTAATCGGTGGGTAAGGATCCTGAAATTTGCTGGAGCGAGAGATATACCAAAAATCCACTCTATGACCAAGTGGGGTCATCTTGAGTGATATACACTGCTCGCCAACAGCCATGAAACCACCCCAATTTCCGGAAAATGATATTATAGGAGTCAAAATAGGTTGAAAATCACTTCAGATTCGGAATCAGGACGCCCAATTTACTAACTATTCAAATTTTTCCTGGAAAATTTTCAGTTCGGAAAAATGAAATTTTGTCGCATTTTTTATGGAAGCACCCCCGTATCTCATGTAATTATTGAGATAGGGTTCTGAAATTTGCCGGAGGAAGAGAAAGTCCAAAGATAAAGTCAATTACGTGAGATACGCTTCCATAAAAAATGCGACAAAATTTCATTTTTCCGAACTGAAAATTTAGTAAATTGGGCGTCCTGATGGGTCACACTGTATCAAGGGAGGAAAGGTATCCATTTCCTTCCGCGTGTGAAGTTGGAGGAATGGGAGGAAATGACCCCTGATATATATATACAGGGTGGCCCACTTATGCTCGCTCGTACCATAGCTGCTAGGCTAATAGAGATAAAAGAAAAAAATTCATCGTAAGTTATTGGAGAATTCATAAGCTACTCTTCAAAATTATTTTCTAGTATACAGGGTGCACCATGAATCCGCGGTGAAAGAATCGAACGTTTTTTTAAATGGCACACCCTGTATATTATTTCATTTTCGGAATCTCTCTCATGTGGGCTTCACAAACCTATTTTGTTTTCAAAGATCAGATGCGACGTTGTCAAGTTATTAACATTTCAATCAAATTTGACGAGAAAACATGAATGTTGAAAAATATTCAGGGAAACTATATTTTACAGATACTAATAGTATGTGTAGAAACTCAGACATTATTTGGGTTCACTCAAAATATACAAGGTGTTTTATAATAAGGACTGAATTTCGCTATTTCCATATCGCCGAAATTCATTTTTTTTAAATGGATCACCCTGTATATTATTTCATGCTTTTCGTTGATACCATATAGACCGTAAATCATACTTTTTCAATCAAAAACATTTACGAACGTATGTTGAAAATATTTATGATTCAAAGTATTTGAATATGGATTGAATTTGGAAGAAATCCTGTTCGATGAGGTGTTTGAAATGTCTTTTTTCATTGAATATGTTTTTCGGAGTCAATCTTTGATTGTTTTATTTAGATAGCTTAATTCACGTGGATGATTATTGTTTATCACTCTTTCGAGATGAATGAAAAGCAATCACTGAAAACAGATGAACATCTTGACAGTATCTACAACAAGATTCATCAATTACATTTCAATCGAAGTTTTAGTGACATATACAGTTGTCAGTTACGCTTCTTGGTGTAGCACATTACTGTTTGGTAATGAATTATTCAAAGGACGAATTGATTGAAATGATATACATCTTGGGTGAGTGTCAAAAGAACTGTCTTTTGGCAAGTAGAGTATATGCCCAACGATATCCTGACAGGAGACGCCCAAAAGTTGACAGCTTTTCAAATCTAGCTGATAGATTCAATAGTAGTGGTTCAGCGAATTATATGAAACATAAAAAGCGAGCTACTGTTTTAACCGAAGAGAACGAGATGATGGTAATGACGGCTGTGGTTGAAAACCCGAATATAAGTAGCAGAGAATTGCGCCAATATAGAAATTTCAAGAACTTGAGTTCAAAACATAATAATGAAACATAAATTTCATCCATTCCATATCCAATTACACCAGGAACTTCTACCAAAGGATTTCAATCGCAGAATAGAACATTGTAGGTGGTTAATTGAGAAGATCAACACTGACAGAAATTTTTCGAGAAAGGTTCTTTACACTGATGAGTCTACATTTCACAAGAATGGGGCGGTGAATCGTCATAACTATCATTATCATTCGGATCAAAATCCTCATTTATTCAGAACCACTTCCCAAGAAAGATGGCCTTTGAATGTTTGGGGAGGTATTATAGATAATTACGTCATCGGCCCCTACTTTTTTGATGGTGTGGTGAATAGAGTAGTAGTTTTAGATTTTCTACAAAATCATTTGGGAGCGATGCTTCAACGTGTACCACAAAATGTTTTGAATAATATGTGGTTTCAACTAGACGGTGCATCAGTACATTTTGTAGCACCAGTTCGCCAGTGGTTGAATGATAGGTGGATAGGTGGATTGGTAGAGGAGGTCCAATACACTGGCCTGCAAGGTCGCCAGACTTGACCCCTTGCGATTTCTTTTTATGGGGCTATGTTGAGAACAAAGTGTATTCGGAACCAGTGACAACGAAAGAAAACATGAAGATGAGGATAAGGGAAACTTTTGCAAATATAACACCAGAAATGTTGTCAAAAGTAAGGAATTTGATTAAACATCGAGCTCAAAAATGTATCCAGCAGAATGGAACACATTTTATGAACTGATGAGTTTGGACATTTCTGATTGTCAGTTGAATTTTCCCTAGGTTTGTTATTGGTTTTGAATAAAAATGTACAGTTGAATTGATTTATCGTTATTTACCTATCGAAGAGTATCGTTGAATAGGGTCTATATGGTATCAACGACAAGCGCATTGGATGAGCTTTCAGATTATGAAATAATATACAGGGTAATTCCCTTGAAAAAAATGAGTTTCGGCGATTTGGAAATAACGAAATTCGGTCCTTATTTTAAAACACCCTGTATATTTTGGGTGAACCCAAATAATGTCTGAGTTTCTACACATACTTTCAGTATCTCGATACCCAGTTTTGTTCATGAATCTTCGAAAATATAGTTTCCCTGAATATTTTTCAACATTCATGTTTTCTCGTAAAATTTGATTAAAATGTTAATAACTTGACAACGTCGTATCTGATTTTTGGAAACAAAACAGGTTTGTGAAGCCCACATGAGAGAGATTCCGAAAATGAAATGAAATACAGGGTGTGCCATTAAAAAAAACGATCGATTCTTTCGCCCCGGATTCATGGTGCACCCTGTATACTAGAAAATAATTTTGAAGAGTAGCTTAGGAAGTGTCCAATAACTTCCGATGAAATTTTTTTTCTCTCTCTATCAGCATAGCAGCTATGGTCCGAGCGAGCATAAGTGCGCCACCCTGTATATATACAGTGTGTCCCACTTTGAGCAGCACCACCTTGGTATTTTCTTAATCGCTGACAGATTCCAAAAATGTTGTGTTTCAACATGTACTTCTGAATGAGTTCTACATTTCTGAGTATCCAACACTCTGATTGCACTACGACACGGCCAACTATGATAAATTGAAAATGCCTAAAATCAGTTAGTAATATCAGGAATATTCTCAGCGGAAAACTGACATTCTCAACATTTTGAGAACTCCCTCAGATACATGTGGTCAAATTTTCATGTTGATATCATATACAGGGCGTTATTTATTGTTAATTAATTTTTGATGCTTGAAAATAATGAGAAAAATATAATTAACATCATGATTTCATTCAGATACTACTTGAAAACACATGTTTCATAATTGATGATTTTATGAATTACCCTGTATTTTCAGAACGACATGAATATTCTGATCGATGAGGGGATATGGGAGAATTCAAAAATTCATCCCCAATTCTTATTCATAGAGTCATAAAAAAATATCGAAATTATATCAACCTGATTTCATTCAAAAATACAAATTGGAGCCTGTATATAGAACCCTGGAATTCACCCTGTATTGATAGGTGGATTAGTCTCGAGTGGTTTTGATTTTATAACTGTGCGAAACTTCTTGTGAATAGTTACAGGAATTAATAGTTATTTTTGTATCTAGAGCGCGAAATGCTACTATGGTGATCGAGATCTGATTTTTTTAACGAGGCGTAGCCGCTTCGCGTCGTTCGTGTCAACGGCAGTCGCGTGCGGGAAAGAATCACTTTCCGCACTTGTTAGGAAAATTACTATTTTTTCACGAATAGTTGCCGAATTTGGAGAACTGTTTTTTATTCACATTTCCTAATTCACAATTGCAACTGTAAATCAGACAGATAAAACTTTTTTCCTTAAAATCTCCAAAATACAGTTGTAACTCTAAATTGGTAGATGTTTAGGAAAGAGTTTTATCTGCCTCATCTACAGTTGCAAAATTTACAGTTTTTGCAACTGTTAATTAGGCAAATATTCGTAAAACGAAAAGTTGTTTAGGATGGCAGTTCAGAGCTGTCGGAAGAAGAATAAGACGTTCTGAGAATAAAGACATAAAATTTGAATTTCTAAAGACGAGAGATTTCAAATCTCTGGTTGAAACGAATATTTTCAATACACTCTCCTTCTTGTATTTTGGAATCGCAAATTTTCAATTCCATATAATTACTTTCTCATATACCTACTCATTATTTATTTGAAAATAAAAACTCTGGGTCCTTCTGATTGAGCATATTATCTTTGGCAGTTGGATTTTTGAGTTCATCATTTGAGGGTTGTATATTGGTGTTCGGAAATTCAGACAAAGTTTCAGTTATGATAAATTACAATTATAGCCTACATAAGTGGAATTATAACTCTATATACATCTTTTTCAAATGTATTCCAGAGGATTCAAGCTTCTACCATTGCTCCCATGTGAACAGAAAATCTTATTTCGAGTTGAAATCGATGAAATCCTATACTACTTTTATTTTTAAAACCAAGGGAAAGTAATGAAAGTGTTGACACAATTAACTGAGATGGTTTTTTCGTTGAGCATGAAAAAAAAAACATAACTCCAAATATCCATATAAAATTTCAGAATATTATCTTTTCGAACACACTACATCGAAATATGAGGGTATACCCTCAATATACCAAAGGTTCAAACTTATAAATGAAATCGCTTATTTCGGAATCGATAAATTGAAATTTTGAATTCGTTTTTTCCTTCTCCTGTTTGCATTTGCTCCAGTATTACTCCGAGGCAGCGTTATTATTTTCCGACTTCAATTTGATGTCTTTGACTTCTATTTCGGATAATTCGGCTTGTACAATAACAATAGTTTTGAAAGTATCTCTAACTCATGCATTTTCTTCTAATATCGATCGAGCAATTTTGGAAAAATGTTGATTAAAATCTAATGTTGGAGAAAGTTTCATTTTCTGTGGTTCGTAATTGAATTTTTGAGATAAGTAGGTACTCACTGGCACGTCGAATAAGTTTTTGACCCTCTCCTGGATATTTTTGCCTCTCTTAGGCCTCACTAGCACATATATATTTTTTATATCCGGGCATGTTCTTAGTAGTTTTTCTATCATCACTTTGCCAATAAATCCACTTCCACCAGTCATGAAAATACATTTTCCCTTGAAAAATTCTGGAATCGACATTGAAGAATTCTTCTCTTGATACCAAACTGACATTTTGAAATATAGTACAATATTATGAATGGGTAAAAGATGAATGATAATGAATCTACAAACGTCGTGAACTAATGTCAATTTGGTTCGTCATTCGATTTTGAAATTGCCGATTATGTAAGTATTAATTAACATTATATTTACATGTCAATCACTAGGTACCCAAATAGTACAATGTCATGAGGGTCACATATTATGACTCCTTCCAGATAGCATAATGTAATTCATGGAATGTTTTTAGGATATTCTCAAAGAATATTCCTGGTATATTATGGCAGAAGACAGAAAATTAAACAAAAACTTGCTGCAGTAGAGATGAGTACCTACTCTATTGAATTTTCACAAACCTAATACCGTTTTTACCGTGATGAAAAATATGAAAAGCAAAGATGTTGACACTTCAATAGTATAGGATTATTATTAGTATTGAGGCTAGAGAATAAAACAGATTACTTTCTTGAAGTACCTACTGAATACATCCATTTTTAGCCATTTCTGAGGTATCTCCTGAACAGGTCATTTCCAATTTCCCACATTTTTGATAATAAGTTAAATATGTAGGGTGATTCACGTTTGAGTTATAAATAATGACGTCTGCGATAATTTTTTTCAATGGGACATCCTTTATATTATTCAATTTTTGGAATCTCCATGGAAAGCTGAATTCAAAAATATATCACACAATGGGTTTCTCAATAGCGCGATCGTTTAATTGAGTGCTTCTGTAAAGTACTGAATAAATCCATTTTTCCCTAAACTATCTATTTTTGTGGAATCTTCTGAACCAGGTTTATCGCAATCTTTGATTTGTCATATTCTGAATAAAAATCAGATATACGTGCAACCTAGGTTTTGTATACAGTGCGTCCGTTATATTCATTGCATTGTGAAATGGGGTTGTCATGAAGAAAATACCGATGGCGTAACATATCCTACAGGAATCATTCTGAATATGTATCAATTGAATTTGGATGAGTGCTTGAATGAACACAATTCGATGGCTCTGAGCGTTTTTCCCAGAAATTCTTCTATTAATTTTTAACGAACTTCACGAAATCACTTAATCTAACGGATGCATACTATATACGAACCCTGTAGAATAATTTACACTCACCGGGAAAAAAGGCCACCAAAAAATTTGGCCAAATTGTTCAGCCTGTAACTTTTCAATCCTTGTCCGATTCCTGTGAAATTTTGATCAAATCGTGGATTTATGTTCCGGAATATTGGCTTGAATATTAGTTTTTCACGAAACTGATGACTTGACCATTATACAGGGAAAAAACGAATTTATTCTTCTACCCTATACTTGTCAACGCCCTGTGGCAAAATTGTGTAGTTAAACTCGGCATCATCATGCTTCGGTTTGAAGTGTGATCCCTTCTCAACACAAAAAATTTCGATTCACTTCAATATATCATTTTTAAGAGGAGATGCGATTGTTTCAAGAAAGTATGGCATTTTTCAATTTTTTCACCAATAATTAGAACCTACATAAACTAATTGAATAACGCAACTTGAAGAATTAATATCACTTAGTATCCTCTCCTCCTCCTTTTTTATCCGATAGCCAAGCAGCCATCAAAGCGTTGAGCTCTCCTTACATGAATTCGAAGATGCTATGGGAATGCCTAAGCAAATTGAATGAGCTAGGCAGTGACAATAAAGTGATCCTCCTCTGGGTGCCAGGGCATATTGGAGTAGAGGGGAATGAACAAGCAGACACTCTGGCACGACAAGGGGCTTTAACGCCACTGATCGGACCAGAGCCATTCTGCGGCCTTGGGCATTCATATTTCCAAGGAGAACTTGAGAAGGCGGAAGGAGCCTGGAGAGCCAGACAATGGAGAAGACTTCCAGGACTACGACAGGCTAAAGATCTCCTTGGAAATTTCAACCGAGAAAGATCTAAGACACTGACAAACCTCAGCAAAGGAAGTCTCAAAGCAATAACGGGATTTCTAACGGGGCATTGCAGACTCAAAGAACACCTAAGGAAGCTAGGCTTACAGGAGGACGGCACCTGCAGATTCTGTGAGGAAGAACCAGAAACACCCCATCACATACTGATGGAGTGTGACGCTGTACATCACGAAAGATTGAACATACTGGGAACACACCAGCTGACTGTGGAAGAAATACCACAGCTGGACCCCCTCAAAATGCTCAAATTCCTGAAGGAATTGAATCTCGAGGGGCTGCTATAAACAAGAAATCCTTGATATAGCAGAAGCAGATGGCGCACAATAGATCTAATTAGGTCGCAGCGCATCTGTCACCATCCAACCTACCAATACCAATACCAATAATCCTCTCCTCGATGTTAAATTACAACATTCAATCTCCGTGGGATCGAATTGATCAAATTTCCGCAAAATTTCTTGAGTAGTCATGAAGAGGTGCCTGAAATTCTCCTTGAAGCGCGAATCGTAGCTCTTGAAGAGTCTCAGAAAGGCGAATGAGCCTCTGTAGGTCACCACTATAGGTTCTGAATTATTGTTATTGAAAATTAAAGAAATGTATATTTTCTTGAACACACTTGTATCTCCTGTTAAAAAGGAATATTGACGTGAATCAAGAACCGTTGTGAGAAGGGACGAAAGAGAATCACACTTCAATTTAAAACATGATGAAGCAGAAGGTTGGAGAATGGTTCTGAATTATTGTTAATGAATATTTCAAAATCCATAATTCCTCAAAACACTCGTATCTTTTCTGAACAATGGAACAATTAACGTGGATATTGAACCATTGTGTTGGGAAGGAATCACACGTCAATCCAAAACAGAATGAGGGCGTTAAGAACCTTTTGTTTTTCCCTGTATAATGATCAAGCCATCAGCTTTTCTCAGGAACTAATATTCAGGCAAATTTTGAAACATGGAATATACGATCTGGTAAAAAATATATCAAAATCAGACAAAAATCAAAAATGTTACAGGGCGAACAATCTGGTTGAATTTTTGGTGGCTGGTTTTATTGCCGGTGAGTGTATACAGTGTGTCCCACTTACCATGCTCACCATGGGTATCTTTTCAACGGTGAGAGATACGAGGTCGGTTAAATGACACCAAATGTGGAGTTTGTCAGGGCCAACTATAATGTGAAAAAACATTTTGATAAAATCTGTTCGTTTTTGTTTTATACGCAAAAAACATATTTTGATCATTTTCATGTCTCCTCCGTAACTTCTTTATTTATGAAAATATTCAAATAGGAATTTCACATTCTTATGGCAGTTTTTCAAAGTGATTTCGAAAAAAATATGAAATTTATACCAACTCTTCTAGAATTTGAGATATCAGCACCAACTTTAGTTTTTCAAATGTAGGTCATAGCTCACTATGACTTAGTTACAAATAACTTTTTTTCCTCTTCCAGATGATATGTCGCAGTAATAGTTTTGTGTTGATAACAACGGAGTTATCGTCATTTATACAAGAACAAAAAATTATTTGGAAGCCGCCATCTTGAATTTATGAATTTCAACAAAAAAATCATGATCTCCGACCTCAAAAACCCCCACTTACCAATTTTGAATGGAATCGGACCAAATCTTGTCCGCTATCTTGGAGCAGCCATTTTTTTCAATTTCAACAAAAATTCCATAACTCCAATTAACTTGATATTTGACAGGTGTTCATAATTTCGGTGACAATACATTATGGAATTTTTGTTGAAATTAAAAAAAATGGCTGCTCCAAGATGGCGGACAAGATTTGGTCCGATTCCATTCAAAATTGGTAAGTGGGGGTTTTTGAGGTCGGAGATCATGATTTTTTTTTTTAAATTTATAAATTCAAGATGGCGGCTTCCAAATGATATTTTGTTCTTGTATAAATGACGATAACTCCCTTGTTATCAACACAAAACTATTACTGCGACATATCATCTAGAAGAGAAAAAAAAGTTATTTGTAACTAAGTCATAGTGAGCTATGACCTACATTAGAAAAACTAAAGTTGGTGCTGATATCTCAAATTATAGAAAAGTTGGTATAAATTTCATATTTTTTTCGAAATCACTTTGAAAAACTGCCATGAGAATGTGAAATTCTTATTTGAAAATTTTCATAAATAAAGAAGTTACGGAGGAGACATGAAAATGATCAAAATCTGTTTTTTGCGTATAAAACAAAAACGAATAGATTTTATCAATTTTTTTTTCACATTATAGTTGGCCTTAACAAACTCCACATTTTGGTGTCATATAACCGACCTCGTATCTCTCACCGTTTGAAAGATACCCATGGTGAGCATGGTAAGTGGGACACACTGTATACAGGGTGCCCGTTTTTTGAGCTCCACCATGAGGATCTCAGTTATTATGAGAAATACGAGGTCGGTCAAATTAGGGCAAGGTTGCGCATTTCCATGCTAAACATTTATCTGCAAGAAGATTTGATGTGTCATTTTTAGATTTCGAATTATTTGACGAAAACGAAAATTTGTAATTTTCGTATTTATTTTTTCAAGGCCCTTGTGTCAAAGAATCAGAATCTGTCATCGAATTTTCCATGAGGTTCTTGATGCCAAAGTCACAACACTTAACTTCGTTTTCTCTTATGGGCGTCATATTGGATTTGTGCATTTTTGAAAATCCTTCTTTTATTACAATGATGAATCACATGATATGATCGAATCTTTCTTGTTGATCGAAATTGGGAAAGAAACATATTTGCGAAGAGTGCTTTGGAAGGAGCGCCAACAGTTTCGTTCAACAAACTGAATTTTGACAGTTTATTTGAATTTGGAACTGGAACGTTCACATTTTCGTCAAGCTCATCTATTTAAAATTATGGTTTTGAATTAGGCACGACGTAATGAGCTAGAAGTTTATTCTTTGCAAAGAAAACGAAACAAAGTTATAAAAGATTCTCGAATACTACACCTTCCACTTCTCAACTCAATTCTACGCGTTTTAATTCTCGGGATGAAATTTATTGTTAATTAGAAGAATTAGGAAAAATTATGATATTATGGGTATATTCGTTAGACTGTATCATATCGATATACTGAATATATGTTTTTATTTCAGAAACACCTTGTATATAGGGTGACTCTTTCTC